AGCGTTGCACTAAACATCATAGATATTCCTATAGCACTTTTTATTGTACCCCGGGTTATACAAATTTGTTTCTGTTCATTAATAAACTTATATTACGTATCTGTAAGCTGAATAGAATGCTATTTAAATGCTCTTTTTCCCTGAGCTCAGAATACTTGCAACCCAAGCCACAGCTACTGCAAAAATTTCACACCGGAAGTACAGATCAGATTGAGGTGAAGTGCTGAATTCAACAGAAGCACAGAAGGGTAAAACTTCAAAAAAAAAAAAATAGGGGCCTATTTTTTATGCAAAATATGCAGAATTGGACACAAACAGGTAACTGCATGTGTAAATACCTCACGCAAAAGGGATAATTGCATGTGTAAATGCACATTTGCACAAACTAATGCACATACAGTTATCTGCTGGTATATTTGGCAGGCACAATTTAGACACCTGTTAAAGGGAAATACTTTGCTTTAAGTATTTATATAGTTTATTAAAAATCATGGGTATAGTGTTTTACACTTAAACTGTACTTTACAAAGTAAATTTTTTCTAATCCAAAGAATTTACAATTTGAGCCCAGTCCTGTGAGATGCTGTGTCTCTCAGGACTGGGCCCAAAGTTAGCCAAGACATGGTATAGCAGTTCAAGATAAGGCGAATGAGGGGCTTATATAATGAGAAGGTAGAAAGGATTCCTCCTGAAATAAAAATTAATAAAAATAAATTAATGGAGATATCCTATCTCCTAGAACTGGAAGGGACCTTGAAAGGTCATCGAGTCCAGCCCCCTGCCTTCACTAGCAGGACCAAGAAATAAGTGCTGTGTGGGGGTGTTTCCACTTCACACAAGTATTGAAAGGGTTAAGGGAGCTTGAAAGTGCTAGTCACCTCGCTGATTGCACCTGGGGAGGGAGTGATCAGGTGGAGGATGGATTTAACAGAGGAGAGAGAAGGTCAGTAGAGAAGGAGACACAGAGGAGAGGATGTAGTGAGTGTCTGCTGCCTGCCTGCCTGCCTGCAAAGGGGCTAGCTGGAAGGGCAGAAAAGCAGAGGTCTACTCCTCAGATAACCTTGAAGGCTGGGGAAAGATCAAAGCCACTGAAGGGTGATGGCCTTCCTGATTTCCTGGCAAGGTGGAGAAATAGGCCAGCCCAAGACACTGGGTGGAGTGAGGCACAGGAGCCACAGGATAGAGGTGATGATATTGGGGTGCACGTCTGGCTTGCCTGAAAGGGAGAGTGGGTGGTCAGCAAAGTGAGAGCTGAGGACTACAGAGATGTGAGAACACTGCATTAGAGATGAGGATCCTCTTCTGAGGGAGAGGGCTGGCCAGCTGACCCCAACAAGGGCTGAAGATTTAATGGCCTTCTATTTTTGTTGGGCTTATTAAAGGACTCTGTGGCCACAGAATGGGTCAGACTCTTGAAGGTGACCAGAGGGTCAGACCATGCCTATGGCTAGAACAGGCTGAAGAACAGCAGGGAAACTGAGGCACAGATGATGCAAGGTTACATTCAGCCACTTGGGGTGTGCTGGAACAGCAACTTTGCTACAACCACACTTATGGATATTGCTTAGGGCTAAAAAGACAATGATTTCAAGGGGCAACATGACAAAAGTCACAATGTCCAAAATTATCTATTGTTGAAATACATATCCTTTTCTCTGGGGTGAGATGTATGTGCGGATTTTTGGTCTCCCCTAAACATGACTTTGGAGTACAACATGAAAGCTGGCAATATGATCTTTGTTTAATGACCTAATACTGAGATGTCATCAATGCTGTTTGTGATGCCACTAAGCCGTTCATAAGATGAAGGTCTAAACATAATTCTAGACATGTAAATAGTGAAGCTTGTGTGCCCACAACAAAAGATTCAGGCTTTGTTGTGGTAGTTTTGCATTTGCTTTCTTGGCTGAATGTGACTCAGACTTTAAACTGTTCATAGCTATAGCCAGTATCTCTTGTCACTTGTAGTGTGATTGAATATGAAGTTTGAATTTGCAGAGTATATGAGTATGTGCTCTGTTTACTTGGGCTCCAGTGTCAAGTCTTTTAACTGCAAACTAAATAAAGCTTTCACTCTTTTTACTGTTCCTTTCTGGTGTATGAAGTCTGCCTAAGTGTGCTCTGAAACAAAAAGGGTTGGGTTTGGTTTTTTTTCCCTGCTTATGTAGGGACAGTGTTTGGGGTTTTTTTTGTTTTTTTTTCCCCACCTTTAAAAATATCAGCTCTTGATTTCCATTTTCTTTAGGACTGGAAGGTTATAGATAGCACAATAAACTTAAAACAGAAATGTGGCTTTCTCACTCTTTAACTACAGGAGAAAGTTGAAGTGAGTCTATAAGACCAACAACAGACCTTCTCTCCTGTTCACTAGAGAATTTTCTAGACTTCCCCACCAAAATCAGGAATTTATTCTGTCCCAGGTGACTTCACCAGGAGATTCTTTTCCTAAAGAATCAAGAGGTTGTTCTTCTGATAGTTCTGATTTGCAGTCTTACTTTAAATTTTATCTAGGAGGAGTGGTATTGACCCCCCTGTATTTAGACTGCCTGCCACTTTTCATTATGAAAAATTTCCCCACTGTTTGTTTTTGTGGCTTGTTTGTTTGTTTTTGTTTTGGAAATACCTCCATGGTTTGCAGCAACAATTTGAAATTTGGCAGAGTGATAACACTGCAATCAAGGAGTGCCTTTGCCTATTTCTCAGAATTTGTTCTGACTTGGCTGAGTTATAACTTTAAGAGGCCAAATATTGCCATTTGTAGTCTGCACTATGCTGCTAAAAACTGAATATTCCAACTGCACAGAGCATGCTTCATCCCCAGGGAGTCTCCTGGTGGAGCCTGTCATGCTAAGCATCCTTCCTAGCATTTTCCTAAATAACCACATGGAACTATAGCCCCAAAACACAAGAGGGGTGGGATGGGAGTCACCTCCCCACAACCTCCCCACAAATCTCATTTTCTGGCAATGCTCCCCAACCTCTATCTCCTCTTTCTGCAGAATTAGTATCTTCCCTGACCCCCAAAACATGTTGCCCTACTGCTTATCTCCAATGTTCCCTCAAAAAAAAAAAAAAACATTTTCTCTTTTCCTGCCCTAGCTTAGAGCCTGTAGGTGGAAGAGGATGCAAAATATTGCAGGAGTGTCCTGCAACAGATTCTCTGCCCGTTCCTCCCAACAGCTAATAGCACTAGGAGTGCTAAAGGGGCGGGAGACAGTAGAGAAAGCGTGGACAGGAGGATGACAGAACACAGCTGTATGGATGGCTGAGCTGTGAGTGGATTCTGGGGGCACTTGCATGTGTTTGAATATCTGTGGTTCCCCTCCCACTATTTGTCTGTTTCATGTAATTAGACTCTAAACTCTTTGAGGCAGGGATTGTCTCCTATTATGTGTTCTGTACAATGTCATAAAGGGGCAGTAATCTTGACTAGGGCCTCTAAGTGCTACTGTAATGCAAATAATATTGATGTGGGTTGGTATCATCCTGACACATCCTAACAATATTTCATTTCAATGTAATAACTATGTTTTTACCTACACAAAGGACTTCCACACATGCCATGTCAATGATGTAATAAGATGATGTGCCAGTGACATAATGGGCGGATGAGATGTCATAGCACTGAGATGAGAGAGAAACTGGAAAATATGAACTGGAGTTGGAGAAGGCAAATGGGACGGTGGCTAAAGATCCCATTAAAACCAATAAGAGACCCCAAATCTCACATGACATTCTTGGCCATCTTGTTACATTTTCCCATATCAAGTAAAATATCATGCATATGGGGTGGGGACACAGAACTTCCCCCTGTAGTTTGGGGGAAGGTGCACTGTGTTAGCAGCCAGGAGACTCTGGATTGTAGTGTCATCTTCTTCTATTGTCTGCTGTTAATATTTTGGTGTAGCTCACAAGTCATATTACTCACCATCATAGACCTTAACTTGACTAGGATTTAAAGGTGTGATATTAGCTAATGTGTTTTAAAGATCTATTGTAGACTAGGCATGCAGCCTTTACTGTGTGATAAATTGATCAAATTAAAGCCTGGGCTATGCTTTACTACAGGCAGAGCTGGGATTACAACACGTCTCTAATATGACAGTATTCCCCTTTAGGAGCTGGGTCAGGTATCAGCATAAGGCTAACAGCCCAGAGGCCTGTGCTGTGGAGCTGAAGATCTTGCATTCAAATCCTTCATGCAGGAAAAGAACAGAATGATCTCATTACTCAAGGCTGTCTGCACCAGGGGGCAGAGCTAAGGCCATAGGGGTAACCTTAATTCTAGTATTTGCTAACCATGGTGTGTAAAAATGACTCTTTTGAGAGGTCTGGATGCCTCCAGGTCTTGCTAAGGAGCCTTCAACTTACAGGTCAGCTCCAGCATGGATTGAAGCTTAGGGGGAATTAAAAGTAGTTCCCCTTGAGTGGCTGTTGGACGGCCCCTCAGCGAGCTGAGACCGGTGGGCCTGCGCTGAAAGGTGAGTGGTACGTGCCCCCGAGACACAATGTGCCTTGCTGCAGCGCTGCCACCACTCAGGATGTTAGCGGGTAGTGCCGGGGCTGTCTGGACATGGCTAAAGCCATAGGGGGTGAGGGCCCTAACTTGAGGCTGGAGAATGGCCAAGCGCCACCAGGCGGGTTGGGCGGGCCCCTCTCCAGCGCCTATCTCCTGCAGGCTGGCTGGCAGGGCACGCCCAGCTCTGACTTGGTTTCCTAGGCAGCGTTGCCAAGGAAACCGGGCAGAGGCCGCCCCAAGCCGAGAGGCAACGCGACCCCCTGGCTCGTGACAAAGCCCCGCCCGTCGCACCTGGCTGAGAGCCTGCAGGCGCGGGGCGGACTCAGCGTTACTGGCGCCGCCGTTAGACGGGCCGGGCGGAGCGCGCGTGAGGAGGAGAGACCTCGCCTGCGCAGCACGTGCCAGCACCCATCCCCGCGAGAACCCGGATGTGAGATCATCCCTGCACGCAGCGTGACCCCCTCCCTGCCCGGAAGTGAGGCGGCTGTAGCTGTACGGGAGCCGGGAGGTCTCGGGTAGGGGTGGGTTGGGGCGGGAGGTCTCGGCTTCGTCCACGGCGCTGGTAGCGAGGAAGGTTGCGACGGGGCGGAAATGTGGCTCCGCTCCCGCCCTGCCTCGCCGCTCCCGCCTCCCACCGGGCACCAGTGACCGCCCGCCAGCATGAGACCCGCCGCCGAGCCGCCTAGCCAGCGCCGCGCTCTGGTAAGTTCCCGAGCCCCCAGGGCTCCTCGGTCTGCACCCGCTACGGGGGTCTCCGCCCCTGGCCTTTGCTAGCAGCCCGGGCTCTGGCGCCCTAGGACCGCCGGGGGACACGGGCCCCGCAGGCAGTAGGGAGGCCCCGATCCCTGGGACAGTGGCTCTCCGCGCCCCTGGGCGTGCCCGGGACTCCCGGGGGCAGGTCTACGCACCGCCCCCTCTCCCCGACAGCACTCCTGCGGCAGCGAGCTCTGACTGTCCCCGTCCCGCCCCCAGGCCCCAGCGGAGGGGCCGCGATCTCGGCCCTTCTCTCCCAACACACCCCGGTAGCCATCGAGTAGCGAGGCCTGGCACACTGAACCACAGAGGGGCAGGGTACAGGGCCTGTGCTCTCCTTCCCCCGCCCCCCATTCCAACACTGAATCCCAGGCAGGGGAGTGAGGCCTTGCCCCCAGTCCTGCACACTAGCTGGGACTCTGAACAGGCAGGAGGCAGGCCCTCCACCCCCCTTCCCCTGGCAGCTGCTCCCCAAGAAGGGGGGATTGTGCAAGGAAGGCGTGTGGCGTTCAGCTTATCTGGGGGGGGGGATGATGCGGAGCAGGGCAGAATCATAGAGAAGCGTCAGTGTACCCCATCCCCCACTTTTTCATCCCTTACACATCTCTAAGGAAAGCAGGGGGGGAGAGGGTCTTCTGGCTTTACCTCAGACACCTCTGACATTTCTTTCTGCTTGAAAACTATCAGGTATTCAACCCCTTCCCCTCTTATCTAGGGGTTTGAATAGGCAATGATGACTATGGACTTCTTGTTTCAAATGTGGAACTTCTATTCCAATTAGGATAGTAGCTTGGAAACAGGGCAGGACGGTTGCTTGGTTCCTTTTGCTGAGCTCTTGATACTTGTGCATCTGAGTGCTGCAGCAGCTACTCTGTGAATGAGTGCTATTCTAACAGAGATGAGTTAATTTGGGGAAATTTTTTAATGAACGGTGACTGTAGAAAGCACTGGTCTGTGTCCTTCCTTACCCCCAAAACAACTTGTCTCAACCTGATCATTAACCTTTGAGAGGTAGAAAGGTCCGTTTGTGATTTATTTCCTCTGTGTATACATCTATATAACATCTAGAGAGAGAGAGACACTCTAGTATGAACTAATTAGTTTAAGCATTGGCTGAGGAGACATGAAAGTGACTATCCAAAATCTTATTTCATTGTTTGTTTATCCTGTGCTTGTTGCCTGGACTTTTCCTACTTATTTCCTGACACAATGTTGTAGTGTAGCCTTCTAAGAAAATGCCACATCTTCCTCCTCAGAACAGCAACAGACATAGTTTTTGTTGTTGCCTTGTTTTGGGTTGTGTAACTTGCAGAACGTCATTCTAAATGATGGCAATCAACAATATTTTCAATATCACCCTTGATTCATCCACTACAGTTTGGGCTGTTAATGAATATAGCTGTGTTGGGGACTTGGTCATAACACAGTTGTCTCTTACCTGATTAAAATTGCTACAGTTTGGAGCGTGAACAGGAAAGCTGTCTCACATAGTTATGTGATCCACTGAAATCCAGCTTATACCTCAAATTTTACTGTTCAATTTCAGTGTCTCGATGTGGTGGTACTGTATTGTAGGCAAGGCATTTTAAGACAGGTGATAGTTAAAGGGCAAATAGTATTTTAATAAGGGAAAGAATATGAATAAACTAAATTAACATGAACAAAAATATTGCTAACTTTTTCAAAAGTATAACTTACGAATGAAGTGTATTGTTTGTATTGTAATGAACTCTATTAACTTTGAAGATATTGTGAACATGATAGCTTAGTTTAAGTGAAGTTCTGCTCTGTAAAAGTATTTATATTTGTATTCCTATTAATGCCTAGCTCTTATATGGTGTCATTCATCCATACATATCTAAGGGTTAATTTAAAAAAAAATCATTTGTCCGATGTTTGAGGGTCAGTGGCTTTCAAATTAAATGTGTTTACATGAATCACAAGATGGAGTTTCTAGCTGTCAGCCATGCAAAGTCAATGTGGTATCTGAGATTCAAGCTGGGTTCTTTCCTACTCTTTATAACAGTTCTGCAGAATAAATTATGCTGTCAGTGTTTCATGTGATTTGAACAGAACAAAGGAATTCTTCTGGTTCTGGAATTGAAGTTGAGGAATCACGTGGGATAACATGGGGCTTTTTTAGTTAAAGTTTTCAGACAAAACCATCAGTTTCTAAAGGCTTTTCTGAGATTGATTTTTTTCCTATTTTCATAATTTTGCAGTTTTACTTAACTGTTCTGAAGGAATAAAACATGGTGAGGATGTTAAGGGGGCACAGGAAATTTAGAAATCACACACATGTCTGAAATTTACTTAATGTTCTTACAGCTAACTCCTAGGAGTCCTATACCTGAGAGTAGGGAAATGCATTTTTTCCCCTAATTCTTGGTTTGTTCTTTGCATTTAACAGCGTGTTTGTATGCCAGTTTCACTGTTTCTGCTGCATAGTCATTTTCCCCTTTGTGTGGATCTTTCAGACAGCCATAGGGAAAAGAGAAACATTTTAATACTTGTAAAACCACAAAACACTGCAGGAGCAAGTATAGTATCTGAAACTACTTCCAACTCCGTCCTTTGAAACTGACTAGATCTCAAGTTGACATATTTTTAAAATATCCAGAAATATTCTGCTTGGGTCTTTGTACCACACTGAACATATTAAACAGGCTTCTACCAGATTTTAATGTCAACAACTAACAATTTATTGTTGTCAAAGAATGTAACTTGTTGAAATTTTAGTTACTAATCAAGGCGTTATTTAACTTGCGATATTGCAGATTCTGCAATATTAGGCTTCCACGGTAATTTTGACAGTGGAGCCCCAGGGCACCCGTCTCTCAGCCCTGGGCTGCCAACAGTGGGAGCCCCCACTCTCAGCCCCGGGCGGCTGACAGTGGAAAATTGCAGAAAAGTAATAATGGACTTTATTACCGCAAATAATAAGGTTTATTATTACTTTTCCACAATTTTCCATCGCTTGTCTGCAACTCAGCTGCAATTTTTTGACAATCATCCCTCAATTCAAGTAGGGCCTTATGCATGATTATCCATGAGGCCCTAGAAGACCATGGTAAATTAAAGCTGTCGGTAGCTATCCATAAATTTATATGCCAGCAAACAAAAAAGAAAAGAAAATGAAACAATGACAAAAATCTTCTGATAAAGACAGACAAGCTTTTCCTATTTTTAATCAACAGTCATTACATACTGATTACAATTCTTAGAGGGATACTAGCTTGATGGCTAGTTATTTTCAGAAAATTCAATAAAAGTAATTTCAGTTAGTAAATCCCTTTGCCAGTTTTTGTGGTTTTAGGAGTATCTGAACTTTTTTGAGCTGCAAATAAAAGAAACTGACTAACTTATGCAGGGAAAATAGTTAAACAGTTACTGTCAAATGCACAAAGTAAACATTTGAAAACATATTTTTTCATATGTTTTGTTTATTGTAATAGGTGTTCAGATTCACTTTTGAGTAATGTTTAAGTTGATGATTTCTTTCTACTGACTCTTGCTTGTTTGTTTTTGTCTCCTGTTTGAGCTACAAGCTTTTTTTTAAACCTCAGCCTTTTTGTACTGTACTTCTCTTTTCTTTTTACATCCTGCATCCTTGCAGAACTTTTTACTCTGAAACTGTTTCTTACCATAGTGAGTTCTATGGTGCTCAAATGCTACAGTGATAGGCCCTATACAATAATAGAAGTTACAAGTACCCAGATTCCTCATCATTTTCCCATTCTCTGTTTTTTCCACTGTACTGAAGTAGATCTGGGATGGCTTTTCCTCTAGTAGCATTCTCTGACTGATCATGCTATTGAGAAGCATTCATGTTGTTTTTGAAAAAGGAAATCCTTATGCAAAACTGCAATACAGTTAAGATTTTCTGCCAGAATAAGGAATTCTAAATGAGGGCGTTAGATGTTAAACTAAGGTAACTGATTACAAGCAACGTCAGACTAAGTATTGCTTTTGTAAAAATCCTGATTTGCAGAGTATTTTTAAGAATCAATGTCTTTTTTTTTTATTAATCCATCCTTCTTTGCTTTCTGGGTATCTTCTTACCTTATTTAAAATTTTATATATGCAGCTAAATATAAATGAAAAAGACACAAATACATTAATTCATATGTATATAAATTACTTGGGAATTTTACCCAACACCCAGTAAGGCAAGGATTAAGTCTAATCGCCAGTCAAAACATATGGAGCCCAGAGCCATGCCCTCTCCTGCTGCTTGAGTCCCTCCCTCACCACATGGGCCAGAAGACCCTGGTAGAGGCCTATGTGGGACTATGACTACACTGCGCACTTTACAGCAGCACAGCTGTGCCGCTGTAGCTGCGCCGTTGTAAGGTGCACAGTGAAGCTGCTCTTTATCGCTGGGAGCTCTCCTGGTGACAAAATAAAACCACCTCCAACGAGGGGCAGTAGCTTCGTCACCGGGAGCACAGCTCCTGCTGATGAAACACTGTCCACACTAGGGCTTTTCATCGTTAAAACTTTTGTCGTTCAGGGGGATGCGCTCTCTCACTCACACACACACACACTCTCTCTCTCTCTCTAGTGACAAAAGTTTTAACAATGAAAGTGCCATTGTAGACAAAGCCTACTTTTTTAAACCCTTCTTCCGTCCCGCCCCGCAATATCCAATCCCACCCACTCCCGCATTGTTTCTTGCACGTTTATCCCACTCCCACCTACAAAAATCTTAGATTCCGCAAACCCCTCATGTTATAAAAAAAAAAATAAAGTCCGTTAATATATAAAAGGAATTCAGACACAATTTTTACTAGTAAAAGAAAAAAACAAATCTTGCTTAAACCATGTAAAAATACTAACTCCTGTTTATAATAGATATCACATCTCTTTCTATCCCTTGATTAAATTTAAGTATTGAAACCTTTATTTAAAAAAAAAATTACATTGCTGAAATTCTATTTGACAAACTGATGAGAGATTTAGTGTTTTCCTGCAAATTACTGCAGTCTGGTGGGTTTTTGTTTTTTGCCCACCCAGTACCATCCACAACAAAGGTTACATTTTACCCGCTCCTGCGATTATGGGAATGGATCTGGCCAGACCCACCGGATCCCGGCGTTGCTGCAGGGCTATAGACCCTGGCTTTCCACTGGCTGAACTCTGCATCCCGTTATTCCTGCCCAGCCTCCCCCACACTAATCAATTATGTGGCCCTTCCACACACACTATTAATTACTGTTAAGTCATGTCAACATGGGGAGGGATTTACCCCCTCCCCCCAAATTGATTTATTTAGATTACATTCAAATTAAGTGTCTTCTGCTGGTGTGGCACTAGTCAGTGTGGAGGGTTGGTGGGGCTAAAGATTCTCTCCTACACCAGACCCCATTCTACCCAAAACTGAGCATTAGGCTGAGGAGAAGGGGGACTGCCAGGCTATCAGGTGTCTAACACCCCATTTTAAGGATGTTCTGCATCTTGGATTGTACAGTCTTTGAGGCATGAACTGTCTCTGTTCTGTTTGTACAGCATCTAGCACAGTGGAATCCTAGTGCATGGCTGGGGCTTCTAAGTAAGTGCTTGACTTACTGACTTATGCCTGTTTATTCCACTTGGAACTTAGGGCCTGCGCTACTCCTTTTCATGATCTCTTGATGCAGTCCTAGCTTCTCCGTGTGTAATTTTAATGATGTTCAATTCTACTTCTTTTATGCTTTTCCAAGTTGTACTTGGTCTGTCTTGTTGCCTCTTGCCCTGGGAATTCTAGTCCAGCGCCTGTCTTCTTGTATTGTTTGGTTCGTTCCTCCATGTGTGTCCTAGCTATCTCAATTTTTGTTCCATAATTTTCTGTCTTATCAGTTTGTTCATTATCTTTTAAAGCTCTTCATTTATGATTTTTTCCCCCTCACTGTCTGATATTAAGGATTGTGTAAGGCAGCTGTTTATAAAAATTGGGAGTTTAGATAGTAGCATCTTGATGAACCTCCAAGTTTCAGTGTCCTGTAGTAAAACAGATTTTACAATAGTATTAAATATTCAACTTCAGTTTGGAGGACAAGATTTCTGTTTCTCCATTTTGGCTTTTGGAAAATTCTAGCTCTAATATCTTTCTGTTCCACATGTTTTGTTTACAGTGCTGCCAAGACGTGATGTCAGACCTGTTGTGATAATTGACCCTACAAATTTACCCTAATTGTGAGCACAGCTGAGAAAAGTGAAAGTTCATAAAGTGGACAGGGATGGTGTCCCTAGCCTCTGTTTGCCAGAAGCTGGGAATGGGCAACAGGGGATGGATCACTTGATTACCTGTTCTGTTCATTCCCTCTGGGGCACATGGCATTGGCCACTGTCGGAAGACAGGATACTGGGCTAGATGGACCTTTGGTCTGACCCAGTATGGCTGTTCTTGTGTTCTAATAACCTATGATAAATGTTGAAAGGAAAAGGTAAAAAAGGGAGGAGACAGACTGAATTAGTACAAGTGAAAAGGCCTACTGATATAATTCAAGGACTGTGTTAAGATAATGGCTGGTAAACAAGAAAAGTGGGGACTGGAAATCCATGAACCAAAATTGGTATGTTGGAAATTAGGCCTAATTGGTGGCTGAAATAATTAAGGATGTTCCACCCATCACTCCCTTTTGAGATCCTTAAGTGGGGAATTTTTGGGCACAGATGTGAATTCTGGATGACTGAAAAACAAGAGAAAGGGAAGGTGCAAGCTTCACCATCCTGGCTGCCACCCCATCCTCCTGGGCCCTGGGCTGCCTTTGTTCTAATTCTGAAAGATGTACTGACCAATCTGGGTCAGAGAGGGACCTCAATGACTTCTCCTCTGGCTAAATCCCAGGATGTGATACTTTGTCACAAACCTCCTCCCTGCCCAGTGTGTGTTCTTTTCCTTCCCCACCATATTTTTTTTCCTATCCTTCTTTTTTTGCCTTCTTTTTAATAAGAATCTGGCTCAATTGGCCAGGACTATATTTTACAACACTGCAGTAAGCCTGTGACCAAAGAGACAGCTAAAAGCAATGCCCTAAACAGCCAGTTACTGGTGCGAGTTTGCCTGCCTTGGGAGTGGCTGATAGGACTATGTGCTGTGCTTGTGTTTTTTCGATCAACAAGGTTGCAAGTGAGAGTCAACACTAGGCGACAGAAGCTGCATTTTCTAGCTCTGCTGTTCTTTTCTTTCCCCTGTTGTGTGTTTGTCTTGTTTTGCCTTCTAGGAAACAGAATCAGATTTGAACAGCAGCAGGAAAATGTCAGCTTCAGCCCATCTCAGCTAACTTTTTTGGGGGGAAAAGAAAAGGACAGTTATTACCATCTTTAATACCATCTAAGAGACTGTCAGACCACAGGGTTTTCTTTCTAAAAACTCTCTCCAGCTAAAGCGAAAATGAAAACCTTATTTAATATTTTTCATTTCAAATGCTTTAACTGTTTTCCTTTTTCTGTATCTTTAATAAAAGTTTTAAAAAAATTAATGGTGTGGTTTCCATGGTTCTAAGTAGATTGATGTATCTATATACCAAACTATGAACCCTGGTTAAAACTGTACAGTATCAGGGTCATGCTAACACTTTTTGACTTTAGGCCCAGACTCCATCAGAATTAATATAACAGACCTCATCTATGTCAATTCCAGGAAGTGCTGTTGGTGATTTTTATTGTGTTGATTCTCATGGTTTTTATTTTCTTGGTGTTGATTCAGCCCTATTAGTTGTGCATAAGCCTGGAGATCATTTGTTTTATCTTGCCTATCTCTGTGGGTATGGGACATCACACTGATGTCATCTGCAAAGACGAGGTCTTCTGGCTTCTCTGTGAAAGTCCATTGTATCCCTTTTGGTTGTTTTCTTTCTCAGTACCCCATCCATTACCAGAGGATGAAGGTCTTGACTTAGATAACATAAGACATCTTTGTCTGACTCTGGTGGTTACCTGTAATGGCTTAGTCAATTTGCTGTTATGTATTACTTGACGTGTCATATTTTTCATAGAAACTCTGAATGATCAGAGTCATTTCTGGAGGAATTCCATAGTGGCATAGTAACTTCCATAAGACATGTCTATCCACTGTGTCAAACAAAGGCTTTTTGGAAATCTATTAAATTCATAGAGTGTGACTGATATTTGATATGTAGGGTTACTATTTGAGCTATGCATGATTTCTCCTGTTCAGCCCTGCCTGTTGTTGCCATACCCTTGAATCTACAGCTTTCTTCGTTCTGTCTAGAATGATGCATGTAAATATTTTAATTGGGATGGACAGCAGTTGAATGCCTCTCCAGTTTTTGCACTGAGGTCCTTTTCTTTGGCAGCTTCACTGTATGACCATTGTCCCGCTTGTTTGCTATTTTTCTTCCCCATATCTTTATAAGAGGCCTATCAAAGTGTCTTCTTTGAGTCCTCCTTAAGCACTGCTGCAATAAAAATAATCCCACCCAATGAATGATTCTGTGGCAAGTTCTTTTTGTCGGAACCTTTCGTTCCTCTGCATGTTGGAGTGACAGGAACCTTTCTTGCCTCCTTTCCCCTGTCCTACCCCACATATCCCATTGCTATGTTGTCTGGGTTTCCCAGAATACTTTTTCACAACAATCCATGTAAGGCACCTTACTTCCTGTGCAGTGGCTGTCCCCTTAAGCAGAGGCAGTGACACCGCACTGCCGCAACTATTTGTGTACACATTGGGGCAGACATCACTGCTTTCATTTGCATTGATGCATGTTTGGAAGGTAATGTTTGCACCATAAAGGCTAGAAATTTTTTTAAATGAAAGCCTGGATTCGGTAGAAATTGTTGTTCATCCTGAGAAGATGACTACTCACTGTAGCTTAGTAGATTTTTTTAGTACTGTGCGTGCATGTGTGTATAAGCAGAGTGTGTAGCTGTGCCTATATAATGCAGTTTTAGGGACAAGGTGGGTTAAGTAACATCTTTTTTTGGACTCACTTTTGTTGGTGAGAGAGACAAGCTTTTCAAGCTCTTCAGGCTCTGTGTAAGCTTGAAAGCTTGTCTCTGTCACCAACAGAAGCTGGTCCAATAAAAGATATTACCTCACCCACCTTGTGTCTCGAATATCCAGGGACTGACACGGCTACAATAACACTGCAAACAACAATGGAAGGTATTATTTTTAGGGGTCATCTTCATTTGTTTGTAACATTCACAATTTTTTAGCTGCAGTTTTGCAGGTTTATGCTCAGTTTGGGAGCAAACTTATTAAAAATTTTAACTTGGTTTGCCTATTTTTGAGAACATTTGACAGAGCAAAGGACCCTAGTTTCAGTGACCTAGTGAAAATTTTAATTTGTCAAAGAAAGAGGTCTTTTAAAAATGTACAAGATATAATGTATGTAAATTGTTATGTGATCTCTTAACTGACTGCCAGTGTTCTTTGGATTTGTGTGGGCATGTGTCGCTTAGGAAACTTAGTAGGGAGTGTAACACATTTCTCTTTGCTGATTCTAGATCCTGTAGTAGCAATGAGTTTCTGAAAGACTGAATCTACGAGCTTAGTGAATCAAGTTACTTATCTACATCACTAGTACTGGCTTATTTCTCTCAAAAAGCGACTTACCTCTTATACTTTCCTGTCAAAATGAACAGCTACCATTCTGCATTTCTGTACAAATACTTTGTTGCAGGAGGGACTAAAGTAACATACGCGGTTTGATAATTTGACCTTTATTTTAATTTATCAATACTTCTTCCCTTCCTGTGCTGTTTTTCCAGAGGGTGAGGCAAGGCTGTGTTGATTTCAGGTGCACTCTACACAGACTGAATTCCGGTTACCTCGACAGAAGTATTGCCTCAGATACATTGAGGGTAATCAGTGTGTTCTTCCCTTTTTTTGGTGTTGGACTTCTATGGGATTGAAGTGGGGAGTGGATAGTTCTAGGGAATGTAAATTGTGAGCTCGTGAAGGGTTAGAACATTTTAAATTTTTAAAAAGCATCCTTTTTAACTGACATTGACAATGAGCTAAATATGTTTTGTTAAAACCAAGCCAAGAGTTTGGGGTTTCTACTTTGTCTAGACTAGAGCACTCGATTAATTGTGCTTCAGTTGATAGCATCATATATACTGAAGTATCAACAACTGAGTGTTTCCACCATCAATTGGTGTAACACTTGCCCTTGCGTCCATCCTTTGGTCGCCCTACCCCAATGTGAGGTGTGGGTTGTCATCTGGTATACAACTTTACCTCTGTAAAAACGTTGGGTTAACTCTCAGCTCAATTGACTATGCAACATGCTGACACAACTGGGGCTCTGTCAATTCTGGCAGATCAGATTGCTACCTCAGATGGCAAATTCTACACTGCAAAAAAAGAAAAACAAAACAAAAAAAATCCACTGCAACAGCGAGTCTCCAAGCCTGGGTCAACTGATTCAGGCTCATGCTATGGGGTGAAAAATAGCAGTGTCGGTGTTCATGCTGGTGCTGGAGCCTGAGCTCTGAAATCCACCCTCCTCTCTGGGTTTCACAGCCCAGGCTCCAGCCTGAGCAGGAATGTCTACACTACTATTTGTAGCTCTGTAGCACAAGCCTGCATCAGTTGACGCAGGCTCTGAGACTCATTGCCACATTTGTTTTTTCCAGTGTAGATGTACCCATTGTTTACAGGCTAAGAATCCTCTCTCTGAACTATTGCCACCATATCCCCTTCCCTCTCTGCTTTTCTGCAGAGGCTCTCTGGCTGAGACTGCACTGTTTACCTCTTGGTCATGCCCTCTCACATATGTCTTCTTTCCAGAGTTAGGGTTTCAGCTGGTGAACCACCGTTAGCTGAAGATTTAGTTGGGGCATGGGAGGAGGGGAATCATGGCTAGGGAACATTTCTGGGATAATGAGGGGGACTAAAGAGCCAGGCAAGGCAGAGAAATTGTCACTCTGTACATGGACAGCTGTCAGACCAGACAGATTGCTCATTTGACGTTGACAGTACACCAGTTGTTCCTTTTGTATTGAGATAAAGCCGAGGACCCCGTTGTGCTAGGCACTGTGCAAACATATAATAAAAAGACTGTTTCTGTCCCGAAAAGTTTAAAGGCTGTGTTCCAGTGTGGTTGCGGCTTAATGATTTAGATACTTAACTTTGAATGGACTAGTTATTGAACTGAAATAGTTGAGTAAACTGAAATGAAGAAAATATTCTCTGTACCTGCAGAAAAGGCTAATGGAATCTAAAACAGATTTAGCATTTCAACAAACTCTGGTTCCAGACTTAGCCACTGCCTGCCAGCAGCTCAGTGGTTTGACTTCCTTTAAAACTTGACATCAAATATATATTACTTAATTTTTTGGGTTAGTTGATTTCAAATTTAATTTTCAATAAGTTTTTAAAAAAAAAACAGCCTGTATTTAATTTAAACTTAAACTGATTTAATTTTTTTTAAAAAAATCTGATTATTTTTTTAAAAAACCCTCAATTTTTATCCACCCTGTTCAAAAGTTATATTTAAGTTTACATTCCATTTTTGTATTGCTTTAAAGATTTTTATAAGGGTACACTGTGTTTTTTTTGTTTTTTTTTTTTTTTTTTTTAAACAAATAAATTGTTGTGAAAAATCTGGAGTTGGCTTGTTGGACAATTAATTGTAACCTAAAGCGATCATTTATTATTTTTCACTGTAGAAAAGCATGTATCTCTACAAAATAAAATTGCAAATTTACTATGACAATGATTTGGTTGAATCTGTCTGTACAATTTAAGAACTCTGTGTTAGATTATGAACTCTGCATGTATCTTGATCAAGTTGCAAACTCCACTTTGAAGGTGCATACAGCCTGTTGTCTTTACTGTTGTCCTTTTACCTCCATGTTGGACTGAAATTCCAACGGGGGTACTGGCAAAGGTGTAACAGTAGAGGATTGTTAAACTTTGATGGTGTTCTGTTCAAAAAGGAAGCACTCTAGAAGCACTCCCTTCCCTTCACAGAGGAACTGTTATCTGGGGAGAGGTCACCTAGCAATGAAATGACCTGGGGGTTACCTGTTCTGGCTGACCAGGGAGTCACCTGACAGAGGAGACTGACTAGAAGGTTATAAAGAGGCTACTCTGTTTATTTTCTCTTTGGCCATTTTTTTCACCGTCTTAAGATGAGGAAGCTGCAGGAACCGAGTGAGTCGACGGTGAAGGGGAGACACACTTTGTCTATTTGAGCACATATAGTCCCCCAAGCACTTCTAAGGGAAGGATGATCTAGAGAGGGGAAATGTATGTAAGGTTTGGGGTTTTTTTTCTTGTATAGAACTCTGTGATTCTCCTAGAATCATAGAATATCAGGGTTGGAAGGGACCTCGGGAGGTCATCTAGTCCAACCCCCTGCTCAAAGCAGAACCAATTCCTAACTAAATCATCCCAGCCAGGGCTTTGTCAAGCATGACCTTAAAAACCTCTAAGGAAGGAAGGTCATTATTAAAGGTCAATGGTGTATTTGAGTCCTGTGCAAACTGTGTGTGTGTTGTGTTTTACACTTACCGTGTTCCCTTTAAAGAGAGAAATCAGAACACTCACATGTGGATGGAATTCTAAGAAAAGGAGTATTTAAGTTATGAGGGGAGTCTGAGGAGTCCATACTGGTTCCATGGGCTAGGTGTGTGGGCCATGTGGTAACAGTTCTCAGGCAGGAGTATTAGATGAAGGGTCTCACTCTGACAGTGCATCTAGGACTCTAGAACTGAGACAGTGCCTGAGCCTGGACTCTGTGCAGACTTTGAAGTCTTAAAACACCCATGAAAGCAGAGGCTGGAATTCCTTTCGTCTGGTGGGCTGCCAGCAAGAGAAGCCCAACTAGGGCTGTGACGAATTTGGCATATAATAATAATAACTGAAGTAGAATGGACAGAATTCAGTTTATAGAACTTGTATATCGTTCATCTTCCTGCAGAATATCTCAGAGCTGGTTCTCCTGTCTGTCTGAATGCATACATTTAACAAAACTTTTTTTCACTGATCTTTGAAAAGAAAGTAGTAATAGTGGCAAGGGGCTGTATTTATAGTAATCAAACATGTATGATTCATAGCTGGGAGAGACTGCAAATACTATGGAGGTTAGAAGTTTAAAACACTTTGAATAATACATTGGAGAAATGGCTGAAATTAAAAAAAAAAAAGTCAATAAAGACATTTGAAGAATCAGTCAAAGCATTGGACACTCTAAATGGCTACTAATTTCATGGACAATTACACTGCATTCTTACTAAAGACACCCCTTGCTCCTGGGGGCTGTAACTAATTGAGATGAGTTCTCTCTGCAAGAACTGCATGCATATAAGAGGTGGGAGGAAAACTACTTTAGTAACACTACAGAAGAGTGTGAGTAAAATTGATGAGTTAGCAGTCTAGCTTTACAAAGAGCCAAATGTTATATCGGGTTATGTTAATAGGATTATCATGTGACTTAAGCAAAATAACTTGTATTCTTGCTCAGTATTGGCTTGTCCTCAGTTTGGGTACTACATTACATTTTGGGCATTGTTTTAAAAAAAAATCTTTTTATTAAAGCAAAGTTGCAATAAAATGTTAACATGCATCATATACAATCCTTATTTATTCAGCATCAGGTTAATAGTCAAAGAACCTGTCTAAAGATTAATAAGAAATTGAAGCATATCATAGCAAAAATTGCAGCAAGAAACAGCCTCCCAAAATAATGAGGCACTCACTGCAGTTAACTGAATTTTGTGAGGGAACAGTTATTTCAAATAGCTGCATCATCAAATATACTTTTATCAGATACCCGATGACTGTAGTTTGGATTTATCTAAAAGCATTTAGATTAATACGCTGTAATACAGCAGTTTTAAACCTGTGGTCTGCAGAGAGCAGGATGGTTACGTGATGTTGGCTCCTCTTGGTTTCTAACTACTAAATTACATTAAACACTTCCCTATATTTTTTTATTAAATCAATTTGGTGTAGTTGCCACAGGGATAGTACATGATCCGCAATAGGCGGGGCGGTGTTCCGTGAGACATTCTAGGAGTGATCCATGCTGTGTGTCTTTGTCCATGCTATTGACATTCTTCTTTGTAGGGAAAGCTTGCAGATTCATTATGATGGATCTTACCCCAGCATGCAAAACCTTGGAGGCAGAACCAGACCTATCAATCAAGGCAGTAGTCACTCCTGTGAAGACCCAACCAGATCATTCTGCCTCCAACAGTTGCAGGGAGGCTTTACAAGACTTCCTGCTCAGAAGCAATTAGAAAATAGGACAAAACAACCAAAAAGGGATCCTCTTTATTTTTAGTGTTTGACTTATTTGATTATAAGCATCACTGGACTGTTGTTTAGCCTCAGTGGGTCTATAGCAAGCTTGCTGGAAACACCTCTTCTGATACTGAGGTAGCTGGCTGTAGCAGATTGTAGTTGTGAGGGCTTCTTTGATAAGGACATCTCTCAGGCAACCAGAGAAATAAAGAAGCTGGCAGAAAAGAGCACAAAAATGTCTGGGCTAACTGGATCCAACTTGCTGTGGATCAGCTATGCTACTCCTGCTGTGCTAACCAGAGCCTCAAACCATCCATTAACCATACCACCACTGCTTTCTCACTCTCCTCCAAACAGCCAGCCTTGGAGGGATGAGACTGAGAGCAGCCCACACGTGGAAGAACAAGTAGGGAGTAAGAGGCCCCGTTTTTCATGCCACTCTTATGTAACTCTGCCTTGCTCATTGAGAGATACACCTCTACCCTGATATAACACTGTCCTTGGGAGCCAAAAAATCTTACCGCGTTATATCGAACTTGCTTTGATCCGCTGGAGCATGCAGGCCCCCCCTCTCCCCGGAGTGCTGCTTTACCACGTTATATCAGAA